AGAAATATTGGGAAGAGGACTTGCCCTTGGCCATTTGCATATCAGATATTTATTGAGTAGCTACTCTGTGTCAGGGAGCGTGCTACAATCTCACTACGGAAGAGTGAAAAAGACTAGTGAGACTTTTGTTACCGAGCAAAGGGCTCCCTGCCTGACGCGTATGGCCCCCGCATTTGAAAGAAGAAAAGGCTTTATTGCAAGGTCAACCAGCAAGGAGACAGGAGACACGGCTCAAATCTGTTTCCTCCATTCAAGTGGTTCAATCAGACTTTGTGAGTTAGGGGAGGACGGGTTGGTACGCGGAAGCACTGGCAAATATAAGGCAAAGGAAAGTAAACCAGAAGTTTAGGAGCATCGCGGGGCTCTAGAATACTCCATCAGGAAGAACGAAGTAGCAAAGCCGTGGTAATGTACCACTAGCCAGGCTGCATCTGAAAGGCTCATACTTCAAAGAAGACCCATCCCTTCCAAAATTCTAAAGTGCGTTCCTAATTTTTGTTTATGGAAATATTATGGTCTTGTATCATTTAGGTTACTCCAGCTTTGCATGATGTAGCCCTCATGCTACATGTAAACTCTTAGAATCCCTGGAGTAGCTTTCTCGTAGTCCAGATGTCTTGTTGAGTCAGACAGGCCTCTCACTCTAGCTACAGAAGCCCCAGACAGGGTCTGACTCTAATCAGAGAGAACCTCAGACAAATTTGTTATATGGGCAGTTTGGGGGGGTGGTCTTCATCTCTCACCATCCTTCTTTTCTCACTTGCAGGCTTTTCCACCTTCAAAAGACATCTTTTCAGCTGTCTCCAATGAATTATCTCATTATTTGCCATCATTCAGCTGGGTAAAATGCACCAAACTCCTGAGTTGCCTTTTCTCTCTCCCCTATAAAAATGTACTAATCTACTGTCCATCCCTTCACAGCCTTTCTACAGAGTTTAATAAACTAATCTGTGTTCAAGCTGACAATGGCTTAAATCAGAGAGAGTATCACTAGAGGCATCCTGGAGAAACCTGACCTAACCAAAGTGTTTGGGGCATATGCTGGGAACAGCAGTTCTTGAGTGGAAAGCAAGCCCTCTTACTCTCAAAATTAGACCAAATGGAAGATTGCTTCATCGTGCTTTACAATCGACTTCAGGCCTTGGAAGTTGGCTTCCCAAATGATGCAACGCTTGTTCTAAGAAAGATGGTTTGCCTCAGATAAAAAGGAGGGCTTTAAATCATCATGTGAATGCAGAGAAAAAAAATTGTTACTGGAAAAGGAGCAAAACCTTTCATCTTTGACCCAGTGTCCCACAGAGTGGAAAACATTTACTTTGAGATTCCATACACAGGTCAATGTACCACAGAAGCCAAGAGTGGTTTTTAAAAACAATAACACTAACCATAAGCCACCCAAGAATCAGAGGCACTTTTATACAGACCCGTTTCTTCCTTCACATGCTCATTTCCAAGGCACATGGGTTAGGGGAAAACTGTGCATCCTGCTAAAGTGGTTTTCAGTGTGTATGTGAATGTGTTTTACCCTTGACATATTTTCCTATCGGTAAAAGTGAAAAAAAAAAAAAAGAAAGATAGAAAGAAGAAAAGTCAAGGGAAAGAAAAAGTTTAACTACTGCAAATTTCAATGCATAAAGAAAATTTTCCACCAGCTTCAGACTTTAGGTAGAATGTTTAAAGAGTAAGCTTTATTTTGGTTTTTTGCACTTTGGGTTTTTTTTTAATTATGATTTATAATGTTTATTTTTTTAGTTTTGGGGTTTTTTTTTAATTTTTTGGTTTTGTTTGTTTGTTTGGAAGTTTATTTATTTATTTTTAATGGAGGTACTGGGGATGGAACCCAGGACGTCAAGCATGCTAAGCATGCATTCTACCACTGAGCTATTACCCTCCCCTCTGCTTTTTGCACTTTAAATTCCATAACCTAACTGAGGGATGTTTTGTCCAAAAGGGACATAAGCAAGCCTTACTACAAAACATCCCAACATAAAAGCTTAATTATGTACCCTACCTCTAATAAGTAACTGCTACTTAGCCAATGCATACTGTTCATTTCTCTCAAACTTTGACTCTGTGGAGACTTCTGAGGCCCCCACAAGTCATTCACTCACGTTACATTGTGCCAGTATCACAGCATTATTCTCTAGGTGTTTAATGTATTACATCTCCTCAAGTCAACTTCTCTTTCAATCTTTTCTTTCTTTGATAGATTTTAATATAGTAACATAAAATCTAACGAATGAATGAGCAAATGTATGAGTAAAAGAATGAATGAATAATAAATGAACCAAATTCATTTACTTCCATAAATTCAGGTGAACAGTTGTTTAGATAAATGTTATCCCTTGATTTAAGACACAACTGATATGAAAATAGAAACGAAACACAAGTAGAGTGAATGACAGAGTCAGTTTTTAGTCAAATAATTATTTCCTCTAGGTACATATTAGGTCATTTGGAAAGGTTTTTTTCAGACCAGTACATTTAACTAGTTATTTACTACATAATAACACTTGAAAAAGTCGTGCAACTTTTGACTCTTTTATAATCAGAGAGCAGTTAAGACCCTGAAGAGTTAAAACTTCCTTTTAGAACCATGGCAGTAATCAGCAAGAAGCTACTTTTCCAATTTTGCAAATTTATAAGAGAAAAGGATTATCTTTTGCAAAAGTACGAATAATACCAAATGAACTTGTGTGGCTGGTTGGCCCATACAATGAAGCCTCCCTAGCCATTCTCATTTTAATAAAATACTGTTTTTGAAAGAGATGATATCAATAATACCGTAATATTTTAAGTACCTAAACTGCACTTAATAAATTCAAGAGTATTATCAGTATTATCCTCTTGAAAAGTGTTATCTCATTTAACCGCTGCTATACATCTAATCTGAAGGTATCATAATTATCCCTAACTTACACGTGGGGAAACTAGAGGAAAAGTAACTCACCCAAGCTAACTGAAGTTAGAGCTGAAATTTGACCCCAATTCTGTCCAACTTCTGAGCTCAAGCTTTAAATCATTATAATATAGTCTCCTTCGTCATGTATAACCACAAGAATGTTAGCTCCACAGGGCAGACTTATGTATCCATTTAGGACCCTGATATATCACAAGTGTTTAATTCAATGCCAATCTCACATAGTAGGACTCAACCAAGATTTGTTGAATGAAAGAACGATAAATAGTGAAGATTCCCTTACATCGACACTATGCCAATCCTCTTGAATCAGTTGTTGACTCCATGAAGTTGGAAGGAAGATATTAACCTGAAACAAAAATAGCAGTTAAGATGCATGGGGTTAGTAGAGTTCATTGTGTCAATCACGTGTTTTGATAGATGCCTCATCATCTGCCTAAAGTGAAACTTTTAGAACATTGATCCCTTATGATGTCTCTCCAGTGTTCATGATAAAAGAAAGACTAAGGTCCTTTTTGCTCCTGTTAAACACATAATAACTCTTAGGGTAGGCTTAAAGTATATAGGTATAAAATTGGGTAATCTATTAAGCACAGGACAATAAAATATGCAAATAATTACTAAATTAAAAAGATATTTGATACACTGAACCAGAAGATTCACGGACATATTCAGATTCTTCAAGCTAAAATTATCTGCTTGGTCACATTTTTCAAATAGTCTGGGTGAAATGTACTGTGCCAGGAATATCATCTCTGCTATATTTTGATTATTCCACAAAACCAAAGCATATAAACAAAGGGTGCACACATGGAATAAAGTCTGTAAGTTACCAGCAGGCTGAATGCTTTCAATCTTATAGATTATTATTTTATATTCAGTCTACTATTGTTTGTGCAAACACACCTTGTTCCTTCTTATCTCTAGAATTTTTCTCATGTTACTCTCTTCCTTAGAATACCCTCTCTTTTCTTCAGGTAGGTATCGAACTGTACTTAAGCTCAATTAGCTCAAACCTCATTTCTGTGAAGACACTCCCAAGAAAAATGTTGAATTTAAAGTCTGAGGGCAGTCTAAGAATGAAATAACCCATCTCCTCAACTTGAATTTGTGCATAAATTTTCTGAGTGGATGTTGCAACCTAGGCTTGTACATTGCAAGAGACAAAAATTTAAGATTCTAATTCAGGCAGATAGACTCCAAAATATAGGCGTTTATCTCCAAGACGTAGGTACATAATCGCATGTATGTGATTAAAGGAATTTAAAGTGACAGAGGTACACAAAGAGCCTTCTTCGCCAGTTTACCTATGAAAGTCTCACCCAAAACCTGTGTTTCAGCAAGGCCTTAAAGAGCATGTGATGCTTGAATGAGCGGAAAGCAGCAGAAAAGGCTTTCTAGACAGGAGGAGGATCGCGTGAAAAGATTCAGAAGGGGAAAACAGATAAAATTGAATAAGTATTGGGAGGAAGCTAGATTACTGACAACAGCAGAAAAACAGGGTCATAGAGAGCTGTTGAAGAAAGAACTCCAATACCAAATAAATGAGTTAGTACTTTTTGAAATAGGCTTTAAGACACATTAGGTTCTTAATTCTGGTACAAGTATGATGAAAGTGACGTTTGTTTGTCAGCAGTATTCACTTCTCCTCTTATCTCTCCATCTAAATCGTACCTTTCTTCAACTCAAAAACAAAACCACTTGGAGGTTATTTGCTGACATCATTTTGAAGGCAAACATTTCCAAGAAACCAACTCCAGCCAATAAAAATCTGAATTTAATTAAATGAGGAAAAATCAAAACTTGTGTAAAACAAAAATAAATGTTACAACTGGCACACAGTAATATAGAAAAACTCACTAATGAAAAAACACATTTTTTTTTCAGGCAATAAAACTTAGCCGATACTTATGTGGTGGAAAATCTCAACCTACATCCACTTTGCCCATATTATAAGGTAGTTTTAATTATCAAGACTCCAGAGACTTTGCTCATGTAAGGAAAATATTACTTAGAGATATAGGATATCAACTTTCACCTTATATATTATAATACATAGAAGTTATTTTCATGGGTTTTCACCATGGGAGAAAATCCTTTCAAACAAATTACTTTCCAGTTTAGAATATTTTTCTGTACATCAGTGGCCAACTCAATAATTCTCAATGCTTTAAGAAGTGAAGCACAGGAAATTCTTTCATCTTTGAGTTGGCATGTTCCCTTTTCTACACCATAATATCGCACTTAGTATCGGTTGGGTAAGCCCAAGCTTGCTGTCCCTCTGCCCTCCACAAACCACAACCATGAATAGATTTATCTTATTTGGGAGGCCAAGTTCAAGTAAAAGGTTCTCAGATTAGGGTCGAAGGCATTAGCAGGTTGGCAAAATTGATTGTGGTAAAACAGAAATGTCTTTTATAAAATAACATGGAAGCAAAAAAAAAAAGGTTCATTTATTTTATATTTTGGTTTAAAAATGATTTCCTCTGGGATACCAGTTCCTCACCAAATACCAATAGCACATGGTAACTAAATCCATCAAATCAAACAGCATTTGAATCCTTTGATTGCTTTCCCACATTCTATTTCTTTACAAAGTCAGTAAACATTGATTTATTATATAGTCTCAGAATTTTAAATTATATATTCTAAAATGCCTTTATGGACCTGAGGATGATTTTTGGCATCAACCAATATTGAGATGGAATTATTCCCAGAGAGAATACTTCTGTTCTACCAAGTAGTAAAATACTAAAGTCTGTTTGGGGTTGGCATGAGAGTCCACACTGGTATAAATAGAAAGCTTACTAACTGAAGTACCAAAATGGCATTGTTAAAAACCAGGTTTATGTTACATCTTAAGGAAATGCACCTTACCTCGTATGATGTAACTATTATACAACATAATAAACATGGCACATACTCGATAAATATTTATTCACAGAGATATTGTATGACAATGTGCAAAGGGAAAACAAAGTAAGCAATCAATCAAAGTCACATTGATATTATCTATTTTCAGGAATACTTGCATTTATTTCAGGAATATGAAGAAAAATAGAAATCTCATTGTCCATGTGAAATGGATAAGTTATAAATTCAGGACATATTAGAAATAAAAATATGACAGAGAAGTAGACAATTTTGGCCTATAATCATTTGAACATTGGGGTTTTTTTTCAGATCCTGATGGAAATTTATAGTTAACAATCAAAGTTTATTGTAGAACATATTCTAAAAATAGACTTCCTAACCCAACAATCTAGAAATAGTCAGAAGTCCTCCTTACTTTATTCTGACAAAAGTGATTACACACATATTCTTATATCATTTTCAATTTAGCTACATACTTTATTTTACAGACCAACAGGTCTCTCTAGTATTCCTTGGGAGAATTGTTAAATAAATAAATCTCAGGTGCAGCCACTAAATCACCGTGGCTATATTAGAGTTCCCTATTTGAGAAGCAGTTCATTTGCAAATCAGTATCTGCAATTCAGAACATCTTTCCCTGAAATTTTCCATATGAGCTCTGTTTGCTTTCTGTGTCCGTGATGTCTCAACCCAAGCTTCTGCTATGGCCAATCCCTAGGGATTTTTGTGGTATCTCAGTTCTAGCTGCCCTCATTGGTTACAAGTACCATACAGACTTCACAGAAACACGCACATGAATCTTCCATTACATTCCCTTGAAGAAACCCTGGGAAAATTCTAGTGGAAACCACTGCTTTAGCATCTTCAATCAAAACCATTTGAAATAACAGTATGTTGAAAGCTATGAAAGGATATTATTTTTACAAAAAGACTTCTAAACAGAGCAATATTGGCAAAGGAAGTAGAAACATAATTTGTAGTTTTTAAGAACTACCTAATACATTTAAAAATAAATAGGGGGACAAGGTTTTCCAGAGGACGGGGATTTATAAAACTTTTCAACTGACAGGAAAGTTTGAGTTGGATAGGATGGGGGAAAAAAGTTAAACTTGCCAACTAGGGCAGCCTTAACAACTTGAAAGAGGGACATTAATAAAGATTATTTAAAGGTAAAAACCATCAGATCTTTTCTCCTGTGTTTACCAGCTACCAGTAAATTTGCCTACTAAGGAAGCACTAGAAATTTGCAAGACAATATAAGTGAAAAACAAACGTTTGGTGGTAGAATCAAAAGATCTTCCCTTTGTATTCCTTTTGAAACCATCAGATACCAAGTTATTGAGGCCAGATCCTCAGAATTCATCCTAGACTCTCATCATCCCCTACATTTGATAAATCATCAAATTTTTAAGTATCTTCATTCTATCTCTCATATCCCACATCCTTAAAGAATTCCCTCTGCTGTTGCCTACATTATCAATGTTTTTCACTTACCTCTTTTTTCATCGCTGCACCTCCTTCTTTCTCTAAATTTATATCTTCAGTATTTTTTTATTTTAAATAAGATCGTATCACTCTGATGTTTAACATTCTTCAGAAGTCCATATCCTGCAGAATAAGGTCTAATCTCTTTGCACTGGTGCCTGGCAGTCTGCCCTCCTGCCTAAGTCAATCTCATTCTTCATTTCTCTCCCGTGGGCATCTTCTAAACATATTGAGCTTATGATGTTTTCCCAAAGACATAATGTTTTTGTGTCTTGGAAAAAAGATTTTTTTCCTCTTTCTCTTCTTATTGCCTAAAAATCCCTACTAATAAATATGCAGTTCAATTGTTACCTCTTCTTTGAAGCCTCCTGACCCCACTCATGCCAAACTTCATGCTCTCTCCTCTGTCATAACACATTTCACGTTGTAATGACCCGTCATGTGTCCTCCCCCTCACCAGACCATGAATGCCTCAAGATCAGGAATTATTTCCTGTGTGATTTTGTCTGTAAATGTGCGAGGACTGCAGTAGTTGTCTGTTAAATAGGGTTCTAGAATTGAAGGAGTGAAGTCAGTGTTGCCTTAGGTCCAGTTGCCTTGAAGCAGAGCCTGGAATTGGAGTTCCAGACAAGAGATTCACTGGGGAAGTGCTCTCAGGAGAAACCCATAGTGCAGCAAGGAAACAGGACATGGAAAGAAGTTAAGCAAAGATGTGGTTTTAGTTGAGTTCTCGGTTCAGCCTGAGCCCATTGGAAACTCTGGAGCCTGAATGGCTTACCAGTATGTATCCCTCTGAACCCATGGGTCAGGTTTTTGGACCTCTGTGTTAGCTGTTGGTTGCACTCTGCCAAGGGTTGGAAAGCGTTAATGCAGGGAAGCATCTGCGTCTCCAGGCCAGCAGCTAATGTCAGCCCAGGGAGATCAACTCTCTATAAAGGGAAATAACTGTGAGCCTCTCGTAGCCAACACTTTACTGCAGCAGAACCACGGGTCC